CAAGTGCGCATGTCAATACTTAGTCTTATTGTAATATATATTAGTCACCTGATCTTATAAATTACGTATTTTGATATATCTCAGGAATTATGAAAGTAGCTGTAAGACTAACTATGGTCTATTAGTCTAAGACCGGACCACATAACATCCCTAGTCATTGGTCATTTGGCCATTTACGATTGAAATGACTAAATGACCTGATATAAAAATAACCACTTAGAGGCGAAATCTGGAATAATCCAGCATTCGAAATCGTACAGCTTGTAAAGAACAAAGCGAGGGGACCTATATTGCGGATGTGGTAATGCCTCTACTTCGAGCTAGTTTAGAGGGCATGCCAGATGGAAGTATTTGTTTGAGCTCGTAAGCGAAATTTTAAGTTTAGCTAAGGAAAAATCTCATTCTATAAAGATATTTTAAATTTGTTTATTACAGAGCGGATCGGCAGAGCTTGGCAAGCAAATTTTGAAGGAACCTTGGCGAAGTAAGTAAAGAACAGATAGGAAAAAAGCCTGACGTCATGGCACTAGTGAAATATGGAGGAAAAATCAACGAACTCGCGTATACCGAATGCTCCCGTGTCATTTGTAACGACACAAAAAAAGACGGGTGACGAAATAAAGCTATGGCGAGAAGCACTAGACGGTATAAATTTTGTTAATTTAGCATGCCGTCACTTAGCAATCAATTTGGTATAGCCGTAATTCAGGTCGCCGGAGAGATCGTTTACTTAAACGTTTTAGTAAACGATGCGGGAGGTCTTTCTCATTATTTTCACGTCGATCACGCCGAAATTCCATTAGTGCCGAAGTCCTCACGGCGAGTAAAACCGCTTGTGCGCTTGTTATTAAATTGGAGGAATATTTTGATAGTGAATAAGAATTTGTTAATACGAACATTAGGTCAAGCTAGTTCGAACCCTCCCCGAAATGTTTCTATGAGTCCCACAGTTCCTTCACCGCGCAGAGAAGAACAGGGTCAAAAAGATCTAGAGAGATGAATGATATAAATCCTCCCTCGAATAATGGAAGCGAAAGATTAAAAAAGAAAAAATAGTGCATTTTTTAGAATATAATCTTGTAACTCATTTTTATTTCATATCAATAAAGCTGGTCCTGGTGGCTGATTTTGCACACATAATCGCGTTTACTTTTGCGTGTATATTGAGTGAATTTATTGATACCGATGAACTTTTAAAACTTTTTTTTTTGGCAAAAGTGGTCAGCGTGACAAATTGTCACGCGCACATGACTGAGTCATCTAGCTCAAAAGACGAATATTGAGGTAAGTATACCTATTGAATCGTCTCATACCTTTAATTCAGAAGATAAGGTAAGTATATCATCTGATTCGTCTCCAGAAAAATGATCAAGATTTAAAATTACTGGAAGTTGAAGTAAATACATCTACCGAAGACACTGAGGATGAAGACGACAATAAAGAATCTTCCGACGATGATAACTCTGATGATGAGGATTCCTTCAATAACAACGAAGATGATGGAGGGCTCTGTGGTTTTTCTGATGATGATGAAGGTTATCATTGCAATTTAAATACCGGCGAAATTCGTAGAAAGTCGGATTACTTACTGTAATTAGCGCATATTACAGCTGTTTTCATAAATTCTGGGACACCTAAAAATTTTTTCGTTTCCCGGAATCTTTTCGGTTTCGTCCGGTAAATTACCTAATTCTCCGGAAACTACATCGCTGTCTCCGGACAGAAGGTTCGAAATAGCGATGTAGTTTCCAGAGAGCTAGGTAACTTACCGGATGAAACCGAAAAGATTCCGGGAAACGAGAAAATTTTTAGGTGTCCCAGAATTTATGAAAACAGCTGTAACAATAGATATTTTATGTTCGTTGACCGATCGGTCGGTAACAAATAACGAAAACGACTTTATTGATATATATAGCGGAGCCAACACTGTCTATTTTTTGATACTTAAACGCTTTTTTTATTAGTAAATTATTTATTTTTATATCAATATGGCATCTGCAAGCAAAACGAAAACTTATTTTATAGAATGTGACCACAGGTCAACATCATGTGATATATGGGACAATTATGACTTTTTGAGCGTTAATTTGATATTGTTGAAACTCCAATTCATTCCGTTCATTGGAAAGAAATTTTATTATAACAATAATTATTGATCTGGATATGAGCATTTTTGCGAATGGCCAGGTGGAGTGAATTGTAGGGAATCGATCCGTAATCCGACCATCTGAATTGATCCTTAAATATAGATAAATTTAAATATCCAGATCAGAGATTTTTATTCGGATTTGTCAAAGAACTTAAATAACGGACATAAGGGTGTTCTCAAAGCTAGCTTTATATCTAATCTGACACGGATTCAATCCGGATTTAATAGAATCCGGATGGCCTGTCAAAGATAGGATCGAATCCCTAATCAGAAGGTGTAAAAGCATTAACAGATGCACTTTGCAAGAACACCATGTTAACTACTTTGCATATTGGTAGCAATAGTCTTGGATCAAAAGAAGGAAAAACATTAGCAGATGCTCTTTGCAAGAATACTACGCTGACTTGTTTTTTAGCTATTTTAACCTTACATGGCTTTATAACTCGTAATGCATACATGGAATTTTCTTAAATGTAAAGCACATGCATCGTTTCTGTTATTGATGTAAGAGCACATGTTTTTGCTTCTATCTAACCTTCTATACATTTTGAGTTTCAGAGAAGAGATGAAGGAGAACGTATAAAAGGACAATATCTCGAAGTTATGGTTATTTGTCACTTTATTAGTGATTTTATCTCGTCAATTTATACTCAAACCTAATTTATACCTAAAACGATTCTTTTTACTCAAATCCTGATAATGGAAAACTTTTTATTAACTTTCGAACTAGTAGCAACTATTACAGTTGCAACTGCCTTGTATAAACATGTAGAATCGGGATGTTGGTCCGGAAACTATGATTAAAAAATCCAGAATTTCATTCAAACATTAGAAAAAATAAAAGAACTTGTTCCAAACAGAGATTCGTTGTGTCTGAAAAAACTCCAAAGTTTTGGAGAAGGTAAAGTTTTAAAACAACGGGTAAGAACATATTAATATTTATTTAGCTATTGTAATCATGATGATTTGTGTCCACTGGTTGCATATGTGGAAGCATATTGATAACAGGTAGTCTGGCGAAGATAGTAGTTGGATGCTGTTACTGTGTGCTATCAACATTTATGATCAGATTAATATCTGTGATAAGGGCCTGATAATGAATAAATCTATCAATATCTGAACCCGCACGGGTGTTTTAGTATCATCAATTTTATATGATCTCGGACAGCATATTTTTTAAATTTGGACTGCAGTCGAAGATATAGTCTCACTATTAGAGTTGAATGCTTTAGTATGTATAATTAACAGATTTTTCATATTAGGTTGATTTATAATATTAAGCTAATATTACATAAATGTTGCAGAATGTGAATACAGAATCTTGAATCAATTATGCAGAAGACAATTTAAATATGTTAAAGGGGAATGTAGCTTATGTATGTTTATTTTTCTTATGATGCTTTATTATTTTTTTGTCTTATTTTACTAACAAAAATTTTAGGCCATAGCAAACGCAAAGTTGGAGAATGAAAAACTTCTATAGAAAAGACTGGAGAATGACTTGAATAATATTAATTTGAATTGACTACTATATAATCACCCACTTTGCTCTGGTATATTAGATATTGAGTCATTGTTTATCTCTAATCTACCGAAAACTCTTCATGATGTTTTTGAAGAAAAAGCCAAAAAAAGTTTTGTATGAATAACAATGAAATGTTATTGCAAACTTGCGAAGAGTATAATCAAGAGAGTAGAAGAACCAGTATTGGAAACTTGTGATCCTCCATTTGGCCAATGAATAGATAATTCTGAAAAGTTGAAAAGTATAACAAAACGATTATTGGAAGCATTGTAAGTTTATTAATAGCTGTATTACTTGTCTGGTAATATAATAAAAATAATATAATTTTTAGATATCAAGTTTGGATTTTACTAAAATATAAGTTGTATGTTCTAAACTACTGTAGATGGTTATAAATGAGAAGTTAGAAGTTTTAGTGCTATTATTTAATATTACTTTGAGTGATTTATCTGTAAAAGATAAAACATGAAGTATATGGTAAGTAAATCAGGTTTTGTTTTGGATAATATTATTATATTAGTATATTTTCTAGTGTTATATTAGCATATTTTTTTTTCTTTCTTCTTATTTTTTTTATTTATTTTGTTTTTTTAATGAAAGCTTTTCCACAAAAATATTTTGATTTCTTGTGGAAATTTTTAAATCATATTCCAACAAACATTGAGTATAATAATTTGGTTGAGAAACTTGAAGTGGCAATTGATTTATTTCAATTTGGTTCACCTCTTAATACTGAGCAAACTAATTTTTTATTTGCATATTCTAAATTTTCCGGATTTTCTTGGGAAATGGCAAATCTATTCCTTTGTTTGAGGAACTATGGGACAATGAACAAGTGGTTGATCCTGATTTTGATACATTTGCTCAAACTTCTATTTATTATTTAGAGTTTTCTAATCCAGATAATCATCAGGAACTCATTATACTTTGCCTGCTAAGAAAAACTCAGCTCTTGCTCAATATTTTTACACTGCAACTGAGTGTATAGAGTTAAAATTATTCAAAACAGAAATAAGAAATAATATCTTCTCTTGTGATGGTATTAAGCAGCTATATAAATTTTAACAACAACATGAATTTTTAATTGATCTTGATTAATTCTTTATAAATATTGCTCTATATCAAAATTGAATTTGAGAGCATAAATTTTTGCACGATACTAATTAGGTAGTTACAAAATTAAGATATAATTCAAGCCAGATTTTAGCTGCACTGAGTGCAATTCTCCTGAACTTAGTTCACGAAGTTCAAATTAGTTTATAAAATTTTGGAGTTGGTATAATTAGAAGTATCAAGCTATTTATTTTACTTGTATAACTGTTGATACTTTTGAAGAAGTATATCAATCTATAAAGAACGAACAATTCTTTGAAGCTCTTATTCATTTGTTATTAACTACTATTTGATATAATAATAATCAACCACCTAAAGAGTTTGGTCAAATAATACCAGAAGTAAAAGCTAAGTAAATAGCAACAAATAAATTTAATTATTTATTTGAAAATTTTGAAAAATCTAATTAAAAAACTGACATTAAATCTAGACTTGAAATTTCATATTTAGATTCTCTCTTTTAACTAACTCTTCTGTAAATAAAAAGTTTGAAAAAGCAAACAAGCAAATTCAATAAAGTATAAGCCAAGCTAAAACTATTATTGAACAACTAAAAGACAATTTGAAGCTTACAGAAACACCTTTGATATCAACTTCTCAAAATTCTTCTCTAAGTATAAATAATCAAAATAGAGATACTAAACTTTTAAATTTTGAGAAAGCTTACTTTAATACTATTAATCAAAGAAGTATGTCTTAACATACAAGATTAGAAAGAAATTATTTATGTATTACTTATACAAATAATAGACCAAATTTAGAAAAACAAACTAATATGTATATTTCTGATAATTCTTATGAAATGGTTAAAAATTATAGAGAACCAGTTAACTTTACCAATATGTGCCAATACCAAGTACAAAATTGACAACAAACTTCTTCTCCCGAATTGGATAACCAACAAGCACTTCAAATACTTTAAGAGGCATAAATAAAATGTTTAAAAGTAATGCTACCTGAGCTGCAGTAGCAACAACAAATTCTAAAAAGTATAAATTAATTGACTTTTCTATTTTTTCAGGAGATAATAATAAAGACCCAATAGAATGAATTGAAGTCTTTACTAGAGCATATGTTGATAATAATGTAAATAAAACTAGAAAGCTAGCTATTGTATCAAATTTTCTTAAAGGAAATGCTCTTTCTTGGTATAATCAAAACAAAGATAGTTTTCAAGTTTGGAAAAGTAATATCCATCCTACTCATGCTTTTACAAATCTATTTAAACAAAAATTCTGTAACCTTTTTAAAGTAACTCAATGGCATTATACTCTTTGAAGTAAAAAGCAAAAAGCTGGTAAAACTATAGTTCTGCTCTTAATGAATTATGGTGCAAAGTAGATCCAGAAAATAACTATCCAGAAATGGACAAAGTTAGACAATTTGTTGATGGTTTTCACCAGGAATTTCAAATTCTAGTACAATCTGAAAGCCATATTACTCTTAATCAAGCTGTAAATAAAGCTAGAGCTATTGAAGTAGTTTACTCTAAAGAAGGTGCTTTTTCTGCTTATTCACTTCTGCCTACTTTTTTTCAACCACAGTTCTATAGAGAATATACTACTCCTGCTTATTTAGCAGCTCTTACTCAACCACAAACTAGTAAATATGAGGAGTTAATAGAAGTTGCACAATATGTAGTTAGAAATATGCAGCAAAACCAATAGCAAAATCAATCTCTTCAAAACCAAAACCAAAACAATAATTATAATAACAATAATTATAATAACAATAATTATAATAACAATAATTATAATAACAATAATTATAATAA